GTCAGCAAGACGATGGAACCCCAAATATTGAAGCTAAACCAAACCGTAGCTCATGTTGCAGGAGTTTAGAAGGGGGCGGCCGCAGGGGAATCAAGCGCTGTACGTTTGGGATAAGGATTTTTAAGCAAGGTTTTCAAATCCACTCAAATGAGACCCTTTGCAAAGAGTGCTCAGGCGACTTCTTTGATGCAGGCCATGGACAGGAAGTTTACGAATTTGAGGGAGTAGTACTACTTCTGATATGATGGTTATTTGTTTCTAGTACTTTTCATTCAAGTTTTTGTACTAGTAGCCAATGCTGAATACTGGAGGTTCAGTTTCGGGTTTAAGCAAACATTTGTTCTGTTCCCGTTTGTCTTTGGGCTCCGAAACGACATTGTAATCTTTTTCCTGCGGGGCGGGTTGTCTGGCAGCTGTGTCCTGATGAGCATGCTGGCGGGTCTTCATGACAAGGTTCCGCATTGGGGGGAGGGATCTAAAAGATGTGGCATCGCTTCCCAGTTTTGTAAGGTAAGTGACTTCCTGAACCCGCAAAGCCTGCCCCGGCAGCAAGCCTCTGAGATATGCGAACGTCTTGGGTACAGGAAATTGATATGAGCAATGCAGAGGCCTAAAAAATTGTTGTGCTTTGTGAGCAGGCTCCAACAAAGTTTTACTCCCATTCAGTCTCCCTTGTTCTGTTCACAGACAAGTGGCTGTTGACTTTGAGTATCCATTAGGCTTCGAGCTCAGGGCCTCGTCTATCTTAGGTGGACCCCCACGTGGTCATAGTGACTATAAGGGATAATGGCAATTATATTAGGGTCCTCTTGTGTCTCTACTATATCACTATTATAGGGTGGGGGGTCTACCCAACCTCTATCATTGTGAGATACCCACTCCAATCATGGTATCAGAGTCTATGAAACACAGCGCCCGCTCTCTGCGCCAGGGCAAGCAGGTAGCTTCACTGACGCTTGGCCGTAACAGGCCTTTTTTTATGAGGTTTGCGGTGCTGCGCTGCTTTGAGAGCCCAGAGCCAGAGTTGCAAAGACTCATCCAAAATAGGGTCCTTGATATTCTTGTTGCTCCCAAGATGGATGGGCATCTTCTGAAGCATGACATCTATCTCATCTCAAGCCCGCAGCACGACGTACCTTAAAGACTTGACTTACGGTCGACTTTAGTGTCTGCTTCGGTGTCTAGTTCTCAGAAGCATGGTCCGGAATAAGAGGGAAAACTGGCTGCGGGCACATATCCAGGTTGATATGGTTGCAAGTATCACTGGCAAGCTAGTTCATTTCGGATGTTCCAGAAAACTGGCAGAAAACAAGGCCATTGTTTGGGGGTACTTATTGGGATTAGAGCATATTGGGGTCTGTAGTGGCTCATAGTCTACACTCCTAGTATTCCCCCTTAATCCCCTACATACCCCTTTTAAAGAGCTTGGACTATAGCTCATATGGAACCCATATCACCCCCAGTGGTGTTCGCCACCAAGGTTGTCCAAAGTCTCGGCACACCAGACATGACTGGCTTCCAAAAACAGACTTGATACAAAGCCAGTCCCAGCTTTGCCAAAAAGCTGCGCCGGCATGCCAGAGTCCATATGTATGTTATTCGTATTTTTGCCGTTATTATGAATGTTGATGAATTTGTGGTGGGTAGTCATGATTCGGGGAGGGGGGGGGGTGGCGAAGGGCTATCAGTAGGGGGGATTGTGGGAGAAATGCTCCAATCTTTCAGAGTGTTCTAGGGCGGCCTGCTTAGCGGCCGAGTTTTTGCCAAATTTGTGAAGAGATCCCCATAGCCGATTTTGTGAGCTCCCTTCGCCCAGAAGGTACGAAAAACGTGTCTAACAGCATATTCAACATCTGCAATGTCAAGCCCTGCGCGTTGGGAAAGCCATTGCGCGCGGTTGCCATTTGGGCTCAGCTGAGGCGCCAGGCCCTTGCAAAGCAAGTGGCACTGGCTTCCTCCCTTGGGTCCATAACCAAAATCACCCACAACCCTTGCAAGAATGCGTTTAGCTGCAAGCTGCACCAAAATGTTGCATTTTTTGGGATAGCTCTTCCTCACAAGGCTGATTTATATAGAGTCATCAGGATTTGTATGCTTGCTGACAGATGCCATTGTTAGCTATCAGGATGGCAGGCCGACGGCCTAGAGGGGCTTTGAAGCATCTTAGCTGAGCTCCTGATTCTATCGCCCGAAGATAGTGGAAAGGCCTACATGAACCCTCAAAGCAAGACTGAATCTGAATGATTTCCACAGCCTGTACCCTTGAAACTCATTTTAACCCCAGAGACTTCCAACAGCTTCACAGCTCTTAAGATTGTAAGCCCCATGGCCCAGCTGCCCCCTGCGCCGCCATCTCTTCGCTTGCCAGCGCTGGCAGCGCTTCTGGCTGCTGGGACTGCTGAACTTATTTTAGCCAAAAAGGTTTCAACAAAACCTTTATGTGCTTAAGTTGCGGGAATTATGGTGTTGCACATGCATTCTTATGGCCATCACAGTTTAGACTTAGTTTAGAGTGGTTCTCGAATTGGGGCCCTTGAAGGGGGATTTTGTGAGGTGCAGGTGAAAAGGAGTGGGTTTAGGTGTGTCCCCAAGTTGCGGTGGCGGTGGCGTTTGCGTTGGCGTTGGCGGGGTTGTTGCTTCTGGTGCGGCTGCTGGTACTGCTGCTGGTGCTGCCGCTGGTGCTGCCGGTGCTGCTTGTGGTGGTGGGGCTTGGGGTGCTGCTGGCCGCTGCTTGCAGATACTCGCGTTGGGCAGAAATCTTCACATTTGTGTGGGAGCTGCTGGTTTTCTGACGCACAGCGTGGCATTAGAAGCGGTATAGTCTGCAATTGTAGCACGCAGTTGGAGTTTAAAGACAAGAGCACTGGAATTTGACTTTGTTCTCCGAAGGTTCTACTGGCGTTCACAACGCTCTACGTCGTCACAGGCCTCCGCATGTTTAGTGCAGACATGCTTCCTGGTGGAAAGGCTTCCCCACAGGATTGTGTGAGGCCTTGTAGTGGGTACACGGAAGAATTCCTAGAACTTGTGCGAAGCAAGACCCTACAGCTTAGGGTCCTGTTGCATTGGGAGCCCCTATGTGGGGACAGTCATTCATGCAAACTGACACACATGGAATGTACAGCATTCGGACTCTTGGTCACACAGGATGGACTATGAGCTTCAGGCTAT